GCGTGCTTGCATTGCCATTTACAATAAACGATGGAAAGAATTTGATACAGATTTATACCTTTTATCTTTTTTTTGCATCCAGCTTATCGCAGTACTTAAAAAATTATATATATATAGAATATTTTTCAAATACATATCTTACATTATTTTTATCTTTTTTCTTTTTTTTTATAATAGGTAATTTTCTTGAGCCTGAAATATATAAAACTCATGTTCAAAGAAAAGCTTTAGAAATATAGAAACAACTAGGTGGTGGTGATATAAGCGCAGATTTTTTTAAAAACTCAAATGAATTTATATAGAAACAAAAAACATCCCTTTGAAGATGAATTTGTTGCATCTGTTGATACAGTTAATAATTGGTGGGAGTCTATAGATCTTAAAAAAAATGAAGATATTAAAAGCCTTGCTATAAAGCTACATTCTATCTCTCCCCACAATGCTGCATGTGAGCGCGTCTTTAGCGTACTAGGATGGTATTTCAGAAAAAGACGAACTAGGTGAGTTAAATTTTTTTCTTTTATAGAATTAGAAATACATCGGTCGAATAGATGAATGTCAACTTTAATGCTTACATAAGCAATTTTGATTGGCCAATTCTTACGTAATTGATTAATCAAATATATATAGTAAGGCCAAAAATTTTTAATTTTTTGGAGATTTATTATTATCATTAGAAATTATAAATCTACGTAAATCTGGATTTTATTTTTAATACTAATTACAATGATATTTTAGGTTAAGCCTTGACCATCTAGAGATTATGGCCCAAATGCATTCATTTTTAGTTGAAAATATTAAGTCAGAACTTAATTATGTGAATCCAAATCTTTGTAAAGAGGATTTCATGTCGATTTTTAACAAAATCGCAAGCTCTATGGAAGATGGTTCTGATCTGTTTAGTGAAGAAGATTCGTTTCTTTTTCTAGAAGAACTTTCTAAACAAATAGAAGAAGACGTGGTTGAGCTTTCTGAATTGAATGATTTCGTAGCAGAGAATTCGACAAATTTAGTAGTTGAAAATCTTATAAATTTATCATCAAAGTTAGAGACTAATGAGTCAAGTGCAGTTCAAGAAATTGT